CTGATTTTTGAAAACATAGACCATGGTTGAAAGTATGTAGTTTTAGATTAACAAGATTACTTACTTGCTGTCTAACTCGGATACTTTTTTAACGATGTCTTCTAATCTATCATCAGTAAGCGTAGAGTTTAATGATTCTGTACTTTTATCAACCTGCACAGATTATTATGAAAGAAAAATAAATGTCAGTACCATGTATTTTGTGAAGTCAGATCACAATAAGTACAATATTGAAGTTGTATGTATTAAACAATATATTATACATAGTGTAATCTATTGGGTTTTGCTGCATGAAACCAGCACACCAATCCATTTGTTTTAGTTATGAAAGACTTTTTTCTTGAGATGAATATTTAGTTTTTTTGAGATGCGCCAATAAAATGTCCATTAGTTTTGAAAGTCATGTTTTTTTTATTTGATCTGGATGTAATCTGTGTCGACTATTTGGCAGCTGCAATCTTTGATTTCACTTTAAAACAGTACTAGGCCCATCTTTTAGCAGGTGTGCAACAGGTCACTGTTATTGACCTGGGCTATAGCAAACTGACAATCATTAGGCTTGTATATGAAAATATTAACATTGTTAATAACACTATAACATTATCATTGTCGCTAAAGGCGTATTTGTAATGGTGGTCCATAGTCACATGACAAACATCAGTGATCTTACTGAAAATGAAATGAAAATTATGCAAACTGTGCACCAAAACAAATGCATACTTGCTTCATAATTATCACAGAATACAACATTTTAATATAATATTTATCGTATCACAATATCATTGTACACAGTGAAGTGATATGGGACTTACACTGGTTTCGGGAATGGACGGAATTTGTTTATGTAATTTTTTTAAGCCTTCATTTTCGGCTCTAATGGCAGCTATAACAGCATCAGCTTTCAGTGAATTATCAACATCCAAAGACAGCCTATTCGTTTTATTCTGTGATCTCAGGGACATGGCTTCATTATTGCCTGCAATCAAAAAGAAACTTATTGACAACAATAATTGAAAAAAAAAATGGTTGGCTTAGTCCTGGGCTTAGATCTCTCAAATGAATACAGACCTCTAAACACAACAAGGAGAAGAAATTTATCACACATATTTTGAAAAATATACAGGAGAGAAATATCCCAAAGTCAAACTGAGGTGACAAGACATTTTTATTTTGTTTACATCACTGTATGATAGGCAAATGTAAAAATAGTAGATACAGTCTTATACATATAAGCAAATTAACTGAACAGACACACATACAAACACATAACAAAGCCAGAATGCTTGTCATCACAATGTGAGTAGTATCTACAGTGGAATTCTAACTGACCTTTGAGTTTAGTTTTTGGTGGTTCACTTTGCAGCATAATGTAATCACTTTCTTCATATCTGGCTCTATAATAAGATGGTCAATCAGTAGAAAATATAATTATTAATAATCACAGAGAACTGACTTAAATACCTAGTTTAATATGAACATATGAACAGGGAACAAAACAGATCCACCTGTGCAGTATGGAATGTGTTCGTCATAAGCAGGTTATGGAATATAACCACAGAAATTCTGGAATTTCCATTAGCCAATTCAAGTCAGCTGCGATACAAAATATTACAAGCTATGCAGTTGTATACCTAGACTTTTGTTCAAACCTCATTTCATTTCCAGCTATTTGCGAGCTATCATAGTTAAGATATAAGTCATGCAACCATACATATTACCCTGGGTGAACTCACTTGGGGTCAGTATTACACCTTGGTGTAAGAAATTGGCACAAGCACAACTTATAAACTATGAAAGAATAAAAAATTCCATTTCATATAGATCTATCTAAATGAGTTGATATGCAAATAAGTAAAATTATACATGATAAAAAAAACAGATTTTGCATTAATTTTATGTCCATATATATTTTAAATACTTGATTCATAAATCTTACCTAGTTGTTGAATTTTGTTCATTTGTTTTCCCTAGAAGTGAAAAGATTTTTTTATTAAAGAAGAGTAAAGTCTACACATTAAAAAGAAGAGAAACTTTACACTCACATATGAAACAACGGCTCCAATATAATGTGCATGTATCAAATTAATTAACAGCAATTACTATCAACACATTAATTATTCACTGGCTTTTAATTTCGCTATTTTTGCTGATAAGTGGAATTTATTAGTTTATATATATATTAGTTTATTATATTCATGTAAATATGTGGAATAACAATAGAATTTATTGTTTCACTGTCAAATTCGTGAACTTAAAACCCAGTGAAAATGCTCAAAACATCAGAATAGTGAAATTAAATGAAGTGAAAATAAATGGTTTGAATATGAATTTAGACATTATCACTTTGAATGTTTTGAATACAACAAGTTTTCTCGCCAAAAATTTAGTACAACATTATGCGCAATTCTATGTATTTTTCTATAATATCAATGTTTATTTAGGACTACATGGGCATAATTCCCAATTACCCTATTATTACACCAAATTTCATGAAACACAAGGCTTGTTTTTGCACCTCAAATAGTGTTCCACATCTACTGTTCCCCTGACTTACATAACCATGGTAATTGGAGCAGAGAACATGATAATATGAGAGAATGAAACATAATTTGAGAGACAAACACAAGCTAGTGGCTCTCTCGCTCTCAGCAAGATCTCCACAGCCATTTGTGTCTAGGGTCCAGATACAGCACAGATACAGCACAGATACAGCACAGATACAGCACAGATACAGCACAGATACAGCACAACAAATCAATTACATAATCTGAGGAATGGTTTATTTGTTTCTGAAATCATACCTTTTGAACCCAACTCTAAAATAAATAGATCATCTGGAGCTAACATAGTACTACATTCTAAACTATCGGCTTGTAAATCTTCTTCTATATCTTCTTCTAAACTCTGTGTACATTCAGGTATTGCCTCACTTGCAGATTTCTGGAAATAATATCAATATATACCAACAATTAAAGCAGAAGTTAATTTGTTTAATTTTTGGCACCAAAATGGCTGCCAGTTGGTTAAATTTAACTGCAAACCAAAACATAATGTGCATGAATCTTTACATTTTCTTTTGCAGAAAGTAGAGATGAAATTTGTCTGAGAGCGCCTGAGAAATTGTGAGAATAAAATAAAATGGCTGCCAGTCATCCATTTTGAATCAAAAATAGAACTAATCGACATTGGCATGACTGAGAAAAAAAAAAAATTAAAAATTTCCTGTTTGAATGTTGTTTGGTCAAAAATGGCAAAAACAAATTAACATGCATATGAATAAAATTATGTTGAGTCATTGTATAACCACTGAACGAAATAGATCATGTCTGAGAAATGTATTTGGACAAATGGGACAGAAGCCAAAAATGAGCACCAGTTTTGGACTACTAAATGACATTCGCTTCAGTTAATTAATTAAAGCTGCACACCGAGATATTTCATGAAACCTAGCTATACAATACTGTATTTGCTCTATTAGTAGTGCATGTTCCTATTATGTAAATTACAGCTATGGTCAAAGTAAGTGATATTTTAATGATTCAGTAAACAACTAATGCGATCTTTGGTTTTATATATACACTTCTATTGAAGTTCTTCTAAAAGAACAAATATGGTAATGTGAAATTAAAACTTTCTCATCACATGTTGATCTGATTAAAATCTGAAGTATAGGCTCTAATTGCTTTTTTTATTTCCATATCTTATTTATTGTTACTTATTTTTTTATGTTTTTCATATATCATATAAACGATATATAAAAACTTATTAGTAAGAGGAAAGAAATAGTCAAAAATAACGATTAATAAAATATAGGAATAATAAAAAATGGAGTCTATACCTACATTGGATTTTCATTAGATTGGGTGTCACACATTGCAAAAAAACATACAAGAATTTATTTCATGCAACACATTAGCAAGCTGAATAACAAATATCGTAGTAATAATAATAGTAGTTTCTTACCGTTTTATACTTTGAAATGCTATCGCGAATTTGGCAGTTAAGCTCCAAGCTCTGACGTAATTTCTGTCATGAATAAAAAGTAAAAAATAATTACATTATGAAATGATATGAAGAATGTTCTGATAATGCCACAGAAATCCTCTGACAAGAGATTTTGAAATTTACTTACAGAAGTAAGAAAACAAATTTCAGAATTACCCACACTGATTTTAGTTCCAGACATTTTGCAGTGATCTTCTAATACAGATGTGCATGTAATTAGGATTGCTGAATGTCCCCATGTCTCCCTCTTTGCCAGCCTATTATCAATTATTGTTTTAACTTACTATAACATCATCAACACTCAACATAACATAGTTTTTGTCAGCCTGTTGCCCATCATCTTTATCAGTATCATAGAAATCATCGTCGTAATCAATTGAATCTATTCCATCATCCAAACTGTCAACCAAATCATCACCATCTTCAAAATCTTCCGAGTAATGATAAGAAACTGAAAATAACATAGTGAAATTAATGTGACCTTGCCCTTGCACAGCCACAGATTGTCAACTATAATTGTCAACTACATGAAAATATACATTATATAATCAGAAGTGTGTTTTTTTCTGTATGTTGTGGTGCTGATTTTGTTTCCCTGAAAAGAATTTTAGTTTTTAGAATACAAAAATGCATTAAAATCTGCTCTGAATGAGGCTTGAAAAAGTTGTGTTTGTAAAAAGTCTGTAAAAAATCACTGTCTCATGCATGACTTTTCATCGCTTAGCAAGTCATGACAGAGATTAATAATATACAACCAGAAAGAAAGAAAGACAGGACAAATTTACTTGAGCTATCATGGCCACAAAAATTGCTGGAAACATTAACTGCTGTACCTTGCATCCTGTAATTTAAATTATCGTCTAGGTAAATATACAACTTCATAGTTTATTAATAATTTTAATTTAATTCATTGTACAGACAATAACACACTTACCAGGTGCATGTAGTCTTCGTCTCTCTCCCCTGTCTGTCTTGATTTCAATGGAATGCTGTGAATCACAAATGAAAAACAGATCAATAAATGCAAGTAATCACTGACAGATACTTTTATTATGTACATGGGCCAGCCACGATTCAGCCAGCAATGCACAGAACTCTGTATATAATTTAAAACCTACCTGCTGCCAATTTTTTCTTCGAACTTTACTTGGTGCTGTTTTTGCTCGAAAATTGTCGATTGTACCATCATCTTCCAAATCAAATAAACTGCACCTATCAACAAAATTATTTCTTGGTACATCTGAAAAGAGTAAAGAATTGTCCCTGTGTTACACAATAATAAAGCAAATAGGCCAACATTATCCAGCAAAATATTACATTGCAACATACTGTATTTGGTATTAGTAACGCATGCACTTAATGTGTCAGAATGTATTATAATGATTCTGTATGAAATAAATGTAATTTTCAGTTTATGATCACTGCTATTACAGATGCGGTACTAGGTGTTTTCAGTGACAAGATACAGTGAATTTCACCCAAAAAAAATTATGTTGCAAATACTCCCCTTTCACTTTTTTTTCACATTCTGTATCTCAGTGACATGTATATATGTATCAAAAGTATGAACAAATTAAATCTAAATAGCCAAACATATTTACTGTATACTACTTTCATGACCTTTGAATCATTGAATATTATAAATTAGTTTGAAGATTTCACTGGGGTCCTTAAAAACCCATGTTATTTCCCACCCTGACAGTTTAAACTGAATTCAAATTTGGCATGTAAATGCATGCATATGCAAGGCATTATAGGAGATAACATACCACTGTATATAATGAATACTATTACTAGAAGGGAAACTGATTACAATATTCACTATTTTAAGTTGAGCTGCAGTATAATATTTAAAATTCACAAAACATAGGTTCAATCAATTTTACACGTTCACACGGAGTTAATTTAGCAAGATTCAGTGAGAATAGCAAAACTAAAATCCAATAATTAATGCCTTTACAGTACCTCCTGCTGTCTTGGGTTTCCTACAGCTTCTAGGCGTCTTGGTAGCTGTCATGCAAGGTGTCTTACTAGTAGGAGGTAGTACTCTTGTATCTGCATTGGCACCGTTCAGATATAGTGCAAATCCTTGTTCACGCTTCTCTAACTCTATCTGTTTATCATCTTTCTGTGTCAGCTTTTTCATCAATCTGCAAGCAAAGAATTTTTTCTGTCGTTATTTTTTTTTTGGAAATTTTATATTGAAATAGAGTTTTTTTTTGGAACAGAATTGCATATAATAGGAACGGATTATCTAAAAAATATGAACAGCATCAATTTCATAAGAATTTTTGTTAAAAGCCACGTTTGCACATTTTTGTTATCATCAGTTCACTTCCTGAGCTGATGGTCATGGGTCATCCAATAATGAATACCGCCTTTCCCAAAAAGCTGCCATAATAAGCCATCCAGGTTAAGCAGTTCTTTACTACCACTCCTGTCCACTCTCTCAGATGATCCAACTATTTTCGTCTGACCATACAATATACATGTTCCAATACAATATAATTATGAATTCAAGTAGTAACCCCCATGTTTGGAAAATTTTATCACACAGGAATTGCAGCCATTAATTGGCCATCTACAAAGTAAACACCAAACAAAGCCAAAACATTACAATACTCACATTTTAAACAAAGATAATAACATATCTACAGCTTACCTGTTTCTCTGTTGCAACAGTAGTAAATAATCATCATACCCAGATGGAGCTTCTTGTTTTGCAACCTGATGAATGAATTGAGAGCATATCTTAAATTATTGTCAGTGAAACTAATTTACAAACATAAAATTCACCTGTTTCTACATGTAACTACGGTTAAAATTTAAGTAAAATTACCATACTTACTTGTACTCTTGTTGGCAACTGGATATCACCAGCACCTTTGCTCCAATGCTTTCGTGCTACAGATTCTAGGAAATATATAATTTGAGATCAGACAAGGTACATACATAAAATAAATGCATAGCATATGATATCGTGACAGATAGAATTAGGTGAAAAACAGACAGAGAACCAATGCACAGACACACAGATACAGATGGCAATTATAAAAATAGCTCTTACCAGTAAAACATGTGCATATCATGAGCAAAAAGTTTAAAATAATTAAGAAACTGCTGTAAAATATTATATCTTTATTATAGATTCATTCAACATCATACATGGATAAAATTAAATAAATTATTTGAAAAACAGTGGCAAATGATATCAATAATGACAATAGAAAGCAAATTGATTCTTCTAATAAGTTGAGGACATACAGAATGTTTAAGAATGAGTTTAAAGGGCTGGCAGTCATCGTGCCGCGTCCTGTTCGATATGGGACTCATAGCGACATATACAACGCGTGTAAAATGCGTTGTTTATTTACATGAAATTCGAACACGCGCTGCACGACGACCACCACGCTTTAAAGCTGAGATCTACCTTCTTGATATCACTAAGTATGACCTTAACTAGATTTAGAGTTAATAACCATTGTCTTAAAATTGAGACATTTATTTTTTAGATCATGTGACCAATGTATACAAAACAAAGTTGAAGATGAAAAACACTTTATTATGAATTGCCCAGCATATAGAGCACATAGACTGCATACTTTTATTGCTACTGTACTGATAGAAATACTGTATTTCTAAAGATGCAATAATAAATATTATTATTATTATTATTATTTATTTAAAAAAGCAGAAATTCATATAAATAATTTTAGAACCAGTTGTTAGAGTGATAAATTTATTTCCATTATGTGCGACAAACATGAGTCAATTCTCATAGCTTAATTCATTAAGGCCAGTCTTAATACCAGACAGTAACTCTGTTTTTAAATGAGTTTGGAGCTTTTTGTTTTTGTTATTTTTAGGGGCCCAAGCCTGTAGGGCGTGGCCCCTATTCTTATTGTT